ATAGACAGGATTTGTGAAGTTTATATAATCTGAAAGGTGAATATGGGCTTTGTCAAGGAACCAAATGTCATAGAGGAAATGTTCACACTTTCAAGACGATCGAGGAATCCTGAACAAATTGCTATCCTCTGATAGCTTCGTGAACGGGAAAATGGTACAGTCGTAGATGAAGATCTGCCTTGAGAATGCAGACCGTTGAGATGTAGGAAAGTCATTGCTGCAGACATCGTCTATGGACAGTCTCATGGGGCTCATCTACTGACTTCTGCACCCTGGTGACGTTTAGACGGGCGCAGATTGTGTTTGTTTGACCTGCAGTAGTCGTTTTGTCAGGGAATTTTTAGCTCTGATTCTCTGCAGGTCCTAACAGATGGATCATTTCCTCCCTTGACACCAAAGAAGGCCCACAGGACTCTTTAACATTATTTCCGCACCTTGTGCAAAACTTACGAAATGACTTTGTGGGGAGGAAATGTTCAATACAAAAAAGCTCTCTGCTCTTCACTAATCTTAACCATGATCTCAGCAGGCAAAGGGACTGGAGAAAAATTACCTGCAAAGTTCTGTAGGCCTGCTAGACTACTGTAGTTTGCAATATGGCGAAATCTTTTGGATTTTTAATTGTTGGCCTAATGCGAATCAGTGCGTCATGCTACAAAAATGGGGACAGCTGAAAATAGGTCGTTTTTTACGCCCTATGTAGAGCAAAACTATACTGTGAATTTATCTAAAATGAACATTAGACCAATTCCTTTTGACTTCTAAATGTTGTGTACTAACTTGAAACGCAAAATTTCAGTGGGGAGGAAAATATTTTAAAAAAATGTTGCTCAGTGTTTTAAAATCACCCTGTAGGCCTACTTGACAAGACACGAAATTCTATGTGAAAACAAAAAAGGAAGTTAGAAAAACAAGTTTTAAATCTTTATATTATTATTATTTGTCTGTTTTTGTGAGTAACTGCAATGTAAAAACACAAAAAGAAAAAAACCCACCCAAACAAAACAAACAAAACAAAACGAACCAACAACAAAAACAACAACAATA